AGGGAAGCTTAACCCTAAACCCTAAACCCTAAACCCTAAGCCAAGAAGAGTAGCATTGCCGTAGGGGGGTTTCAGGGTTCGATGGGCCTCAGAGGGTGTCTTAAGCAATTTGGGTTCAGGGACCGTGACAAGATATGACGACGAATCTGCTCTTTTTGGCAAGTGAAGGCCACTGACAATACAAGCTGACGACGGCGACACATGTGACAACATCCATCCGCAATGAGACTGCCATCTGGCGCGCAACTTGAAATCGCCTGCCTCAACCTTCAAACTTGGGGAAGACTCCAGAGACCAGTTCTTGCTCAGCAGCAAACGCTGTAAGGCTCAGCTGCTGTCAAGCTTTTCTTGTCGCACCTGGTTACGCGGTAGCCTCAACCTCCTCCATATTCGCAGCACAAAGACGGATGTAAGTTGTACCAACGTTGTGTGCAAGTGTGCAGTGAACATACCCCCGAAGAGAGCCTCCAAGCATGATTCCGCCCCTTTACAAATCTGAACTCTCTTTTTCAGGCACAGCAGCCGAAGCCGCAGTGCCACCAGACCGGAGAGGGACCAGCAGGAGGCCGTCGAATCCGTACCATGCGCTGTTGCGCAGGGGCGTCTGTGTCGACTCATCCCTCCGTCTCTTCTCGCACCCGATTCATACATCTGAAGCCCCTCAGCCCTAAAAATTTGGGTCTGCGCGCCAGTGTCAGCCCTCCGTAAATCCCAAAGCCCCAGCACTAAAGCCCCGCAGGCCCCAAAATCCTAAACCCACAGTGGGATCATTGGATGTGTTTGAACTTTTCATTGCACCTGAAAAGCGCGATGAGGGAAGAGCATTGCTTAAGGATGCTGTTGAAGCAATGAGGTGGAAGCGGTTGAATGCTCATGCCATTTCTACATCACCACCTGCCCTGTCCTAGTGGAGAATCCTCTGACCGTCTGGAATTGCTTATATTCGGTGAGACATAAGCGTACTCTAGCACGGCGAGGTGCCACCTACTGCCCTTCCAGTCGGTTTTGGCTCCTTGCTAGTGGACTTGTTCTTCGTTCGTTGATTCGTCCGAAGTGTCCAATAACGCCAGGCATAAGCCCCCAACCCCAGAAGCCTCCAAGCCCTAGACTTCAAACCCTGATGACAAGCAACCCTAAAACCCAACAACCCGTCAACTCCTAAACCCTAAACCCCCAAAGCCCCCACACCCTAAACCCTCAGCCCCCCCCAAAGCCCTTCATCCCCAAATCACTACACGTCCCTCAAAACCCCTCAGCCCAAAGCCCCTGCGCTTCTCTTCCCTTCCTCGGAGTTGCAAAGAGGTGGTGCTTGAGCTCCGCGCTGGCGCGGAGGAGCCACGGGATGGAGGCGCCTTCAACAAATGGTTTCGTGAAGGGTTTAGGGTTTAGGGTTTAGGGTTTAATTAGGCTTCTGTGGGAGTTCTAGAATCTCGAAGAGTCTTCACAAAGGGTTCAGGGCTTTGTTCAGGGTTTTGGGTTCTTGGCTCTGTCGGGGTGGCCGGGTTTTGGGTGGGTTGAGGTTTTTTTTTGGTTTTGGCTGTGGAATTTCGGGCCAGGATTGTAGGAGGCATGCAGAAATGAGTAGATTATGTAGCTTAATACATGTGGGTAGTTCTTTAAATTAGGGTCCCATTTGAGGTCCTTTTTATAAGGGTGCCGTACTATATTGGGGACCCAACAAGGGACCCTAATTTAGAAAATTACCCATGTGTTCGTGCGGCTGCGTCTTCTGTCCTATGGTGTAAACTGGTCTGAGTGCTGTAGAGTGACATTTGTTCGTACGTAAATCTTTGTTACAGTAGCTTGAAGATGGTTTAGTGCAGACATCAAGGAGATTACAGGCAAAGGCATGCAGAGACAGAGTCAACATCTCAACTGCGTCCCATCGGTTTCATCTTCAGCCAGAATGGACAGCTGTAACTTTGAACGCTTCGCGGCCGCCTCCTCTGCTCTGCCCGGCTGTACTTGAACTTCTGTTTCGGTAAGCAACGGGTAGGTCACACAGGTGAGGTCTTGAGTGAATGAGCGCATTGGCATCAGAATATTTGTTTAATGTTAGTATTTGTTTTGATGCTGAGGCTCTGAGCATAAAAACCACGCGAAAGGTGGCACACTCCCTCCATTATCCCATACACATTACCATAATTACTATAATAAGCGTGTCACACTTCTCACTGGTCTCGCATACAACCTCCTATATCTTGGAAGAGGAATCAAGCTTTGCGGCGAAGTACAAGACACGCTCCCAGAATTCCCAGGTTTTGGCATCAGCTTCGCGAATGATGTAAGCTAGCCCGTGTCTTGCCTCACTTGCAAGGAAGACACAGGGGAAGCCAAAGGAAGGGCTGACTGGGGAGGGGATTAAGAGGTGGGGAAACAGGGAATCCCTGTAGGATCCTCTGACCGCTTCGGCCGGGGCCGTAAGAAAAGAACCATGCGAGTAGACTTCAAGCAACAACCAGTGATTCGATGTAAAACCATTTGTTCACGCGAGCCTACCACAGAGGACAGGTGGGTGGGGGAGTGTGGATGGACACACAGACAGATAGACAGCGGCGGACAGTAGACAGACGCATAGCTAGATGAATAGATAGCCCCACGTTGGAGGTGGACGTACGTTTGTATGTAGTGTAATGTAATGTAATGTAATGTAATGTAATGTAATGTAATGTAATGTAACGTAATGTAATGAAATGTAATGTAATGTAATGTAATGTAATGTAATGTAAGGTATGTATGTATGTATGTATGTATGTATGTATGTATGTACGTATGTATGGATATAGATGTTTACTTTCAAGCACATGTGCACCCGAATACAGAGATACATGGCATTCACTTACGCATTCCTGTTGCGTGTGTGTGCGTGTGTGCGTGTGTGTGTGTGTGTGTGTTTGTGTGTGT